CTCCAAAACTGCCAGCGGACCACCATCCAGCGCTGGCAATCGGCGTTGGCTGTTCCCAACAGTCCTTCATCAGCCTGTAATCAATCATTACTTTCCTGAAAAACTAGGCGAATAGTACGTTCTCGTCCTTAATTAAAAAAACAAAAAAAACATTAAAACGTAGACGAAAACAACATTAACCAGGCCACCACATTACACTAGGGGCGCTGTTCATAATGTCCATCTTTATTTTATGTATAGCGCTTCGCTCGTACCCGGTATCCCCCTCCCCTACCCCATCCTTGCAAACAGGGCCATGGGCGCTGGGCCGGGAATGGCTGATGAACTTCACGGAATCTTGTCAAGGAAGTGGGGATGGCATACTGGGTAACTTATCATGACCTTATTACAAAGACATCAACCTCGTCCCCAGTGCTTACTTTATTTCCACCGTTGTTTCCAATAGTAAACCCTGGATAGGAAACTTCCTTCCTGCATCCTGATTCGATACCGCAATTGGCTAGAAATGGATTTATATCGTGTACTTGGTGTTGTTATTCACAACGTGCAGTACGTGTTTTCGCGATCATTCGTCCACGCCTTCTCGAAAATATTCATTTCCTTTCCAGTTTGTTAATATTAATATGAAATTTGATACTGCATGTTGTCTCGTTAAGATCGTAACAGTTTAATTAAAATGAAATCATGTTTTCGTAACTCACGCCATGCTCGCGCTGCGACGAATTGATTCTGTTTTTACCCCAGACACCGCATACAAAAACAAACGCAAATGTAACGCACAGGCAGGCACCAGACTACTCCTAATTTGCATACGTGTTCAAAAATCTTGCACATGCAAATGATCCAATACCAGGGTGAGAGAGCAGGTAGTGGTGGGCGCGTACTGCTCGACACCCTGGGGACGAGGTTGCAAAGACATATATAGCTGCAGTTGTTTAAAGGGTGCAGGCCGGTAAATCGATCCGAAATTGCCTACGCCTGCCAAATCACGATGTGCATGCCTTCAAATTCTTCAGCATATTGCGGGCCATGCCCTTGAGAGTTCGTAAACAATAAGGGTGGAAGCCGTGCACAGGAACGTGAGCTTGTATTTCGGTGCAATTTGGATGAAATCGGGGCCCTAACAGCGCTCCGGCAGCGTATCCAGCGAGGGGGGGGGGGGGACTGGTACCCATCTTCCAAATGGGGGCGCTCTTCAAAACTTACCATTATTATAAATACTATATTATTATATGGACAATTTCACTGCGCATTGTAATGGTTGTTGAGCAGGTTTTCTTTGGTGAGATTTATGTCAGAAGAACTTTATAAATCTTCAAATCATTGCTGACAAAAAATATTGTCAAAAAAATCCGCCGGGGGGGGGGGGGGAAGTGCCCCCTCCCCCCCTGCCCAACGGTGAAAGTGTCCCCCTAGTAAATGTGTCCCTATGCAGTATATACTGAGAGCAGCAGCGTGTCGCGCGCGCCAGTACATACTATTATGACCGTAACAATCAGGATTTTAATTGCAACAAATACAATCCTAATGGAAGTCAACATGGATTTTTAACGTTTAAAACACTAGATTGTTACGATCATATTATATTTATAGCTCCACGGTTTCTCACGCCATTCAAACTACTTATCGTGAAAACTAATTGCACGAAATTTCAATTTAATCCATTTTGTATTTCTTGAGTATAGTTCATCGGAAACGAGGTTGTTCTTTTTCTTCACTTCTGCAGCATCCGTATGGATGCGTTGTTAAGACCATTATTTATGTGGCGCGCCCTCTATTATAGTGGTCTCGATCTCCACCACCAAACCCGATTTCGGGAAAACAACTCAAGAAATACATTTTCACGATGTTTGACATCAAAAGATTTCATTTCTTAAAACAACGTCAATTAATTAAGCTATCATGACCGTAACAATACAGGATTTTATTTGCAACAAATACAATCCTAATGGAAGTCAGCATGGATTTTTAACGTTTAAAACACTAGAATGTTATGATCATATTATATTTATAGCTCCACGGTTTCTCACGCCATTCAAACTAGTTATGCTACACATCGTGAAAACTAATTGCACGAAATTTCAATTTAATCCATTTTGTATTTCTTGAGTAGTTCATCGGAAACGAGGTTGTTCTTTTTCTTCACTAGTGCAGCATCCGTATTGATGCGTTGCCGAGACCACTATTTATGTGGCGCGCCCTCAATTATAGTGGTCTCGATCTCCTCCACCAAACTCGATTTGGGGCCAACAACTCAAGAAATACACGCAGTGGCGTAGCCACGGGGGCGTGGGGGGCGATAGCCCCTCCCCCCCCCTGAAATCTTGTAGCCCCCCGGTAGCCCCCCCCCCCCCAACTGAGATTTTGAGTTGCTAAAAAAATTATCATTGATCTACGTGACGCCCCCCCCCCCTGAAATGTTCCAGCCCCCCAGCACCCCGCCCCCCCCCCCCCCCCCCCGCCACTGAAAACTCGTGGCTACGCACTGAATACACGTTACATTAAAATGAATTTTCGTACACTCATTTGTCATGATGTTTGGCATCAAAATAAAAAACGTCAATTAATCAAGCTATTATGACCGTAACAATACAGGATTTTATTTGCAACAAATACAATCCTAATGGAAGTCAACATGGATTTTTAACGTTTAAAACACTAGATTGTTACGATCATATTATATTTATAGCTCCACAGTTTCTCACGCCATTCAAACTACTTATGCTACACATCGTGAAAACTAATTGCACGAAATTTCAATTTAATCCATTTTGTATTTCTTGAGTAGTTCATCGGAAACGAGGATGTTCTTTTTCTTCACTTGTGCAGCATCCGTGTTGATGCGTTGTTAAGACCACTATTTATGTGGCTCGCCCTCTATTATAGTGGTCTCGATCTCCACCACCAAACCCGATTTCGGGCCAACAACTCAAGAAATACACGTTACATTAAAATGAATTTTCGTACACTCATTTGTCATGATGTTTGCCATCAAAATATTTCATTTCTTAAAACAACGTCAATTAATTAAGCTATCATGACCGTAACAATACAGGATTTTATTTGCAACAAATACAATCCTAATGGAAGTCAACATGGATTTTGAACGTTTAAAAACACTAGATTGTTACGGTCATATTATATTTATAGCTCCACGGTTTCTTACGCCATTCAAACTGCTCATGCTACACATCGTGAAAACTAATTGCACGAAATTTCAATTTAATCCATTTTGTATTTCTTGAGTAGTTCATCGGAAACGAGTTTGTTCTTTTTGTTCAGTTGTGCAGCATCCGTGTTGATGCGTTGTTGAGACCACTATTTATGTGGCGCGCCCTCTATTGAACAAAACTTAAAATATTCTACGGCGTGCGGATGTATGTCTTGGCGGTGTGGCAGGTAATTCTGTCGTCCCCCCCCCCCCCCCCCTGGTAAATGTGTCCCCCGGACAAATTTACCGGTTTGTGACCCGGTAAATCTGTCCGGGGGGACACATTTACCTAGGTAGATCTGTCCCCCTCCCTGGTAAATATGCAGTGGCGTAGCCAGGAATTTTTCAGTGGGAAGCGCGAAGCCCGAAGCGCGAAGCCCGAAGCGCGAAGCCCGAAGCGGCGTGGGGGTTCGGGGCCCGCTTAAGGGCCCCGAAAAAATTGGATTCTAGATGTTCTGTAGTGTGATCTGAAGCAATTTCTTACCACTTTCCTCCATGCTTTAACTAATATTTTCTTAGCAAAAGATAATTATTTGAACATCGTTTTCAAGGTTGGAGTCATTGAATCAGCTATCGGTATTCTGAGCTAAAGGCGTGGGGTTCGGGGCCCGCTGAAGGGCCCCGACAACAATTGGATTCTCGATGCTCTGTGGTGTGATCTGAGGCAATTAATCACCACTTTAACCAATAATTATCTTAGCACAAAAGATAATAATTTAAACATAATTTTCGAGGTTTTCTCAGCTAAAGGCATAAGAAAAATTTTTGAACATTGTTTTCGAGGTTGGAGTCATTGAAACAGCTACCAGAATTCTGAGCTATAGGCGTGGGGTTCGGGGCCCGCTTAAGGGCCCCGAAAAATGTTGGATTCTAAATGCTCTGTGGTGCTATCTGAGGCAATTTCTGACCACTTTAACCAATATTTTCTAAGCAAAAGATACATTGTAGTACATAATAGGGCCCTGTAAATGAGACACGAGTTCAAAAATCTGGGGGGGGGGGACATTTGATATTGTGTCCCCCACCCTTCAAAAAGTGGGTGGGGGGGGGGGGGAACCAGTCCCCCTGTCCCCCAGGATTGACGCCCATGGCGTCATGTAGATCAATGATAATTTTTTTAGAAACTCAAAATCTCAGTGGGGGGGGGGGGGGGCGACAAGGTTTCATGGGGGGTGAGTTACAAAAACACGATTTTATTTTAATTAAACTGTTACGATCTCAACGATACAACATGCAGTATGACATTTTATATTAATACATGTAGTAACAAACTGGCAAGGAAATAAATATTTTCGAGAAGGCGTGGACGAATGATCGCAAAAACACGTACTGCACGTTGTGAATAACAACACCAAGTACACGATATAAATCAATTTCTAGCCAATTGCAGTATCGAATCAAGATACAGGAAGAAAGTTTCCAATCCAGGGCTTACTATTGGAAACGAGGTTGGAAATAAAGTAAGCACTGGTGACAAGGTTAATTTAGACGTGAGCGTCGGGAATAATTGTCAGGTCTGGGAACCAGACTAACAACAGCCAGCCGGGCGCTTGTCGTGTAACATAATACATAGCGCGTGACCACAGACCTTTGTTGCTGTGTCTAGCGGGTTTTTTTTATCCATGTCTAGACGCGACATAGGGTGAAAGACCAAAGACCCGACAAAGAAAGCGCCCGCTAAAATCTAGAGGTCAAGATGCGGCTGTCTTGCATAATTCATCAGCGAATCTGCTCAAATATAATAGACCATAGCTTTCGCCATGGCCTATAACATAGACTAGTCGGATTCTTAGTCGTCAGGAAAACAGCACCAAAGACAACAAAGGCAACAACAACATCCAACAGGTAACACTAAGCTCAAAATTAAAAGTAAAGAAAAGCCATGCAATCTTGAGACCGTGTTCTTATGAGACACTTCAAATGTGTCTACTAACCACATGTTGGAACTTTTAAATTTCTTGATCTTAGCGGCGTGTCCGCGGATACTGGCGGCGTGCATTACCACAGTCGAGTAATTGGCCTTCTTTGCCAAGAGTTCGTAAAACTTTGGCCCCCAGGGGAAAATGTTGGTGTCGAGCGGTTGAACGTTGACATGAACAGGTTGATCCACTCGAAGAAGAAAGTTCATCTGATCCTGATCCGCCAATAGTCTTCCTATTTTAGCATTGTGTTTCATGGCATTAATCCAAGTGTTCACGAACAGGACTGTCACGTTTGTTGGCTTGAAATAAACAAACCCAGCACAGTACCACGTTTTTTCAGTTCGGTTTGGATAAGGGGATCTTGGATCGATCATAGACATGTCAAAGTCTCCCCGGAAGTAAGGAAAAGGATCTCGGAACCAAAAGGTGTCGGCGTCGGTGAATAAAACTTCCAAGCCTCGCTCCAGTAAAGACAGAACATACTCCTGACGCTTATTGAAGAGTGCATAGTACGAGCGGCGATCGCTCCGCTTGATTTCCTGGCTCTGTGATTCTCCTGAGTTAGTCAACACCACATGCACTGCTGGGTCACCCTCGGCTCTTTCGCTCAGATACCGGTAACATTTCTGGTCTTCTGCAATGACGGTAGTATTCACACAGACTTTCGTTCGTTTCATACTTTCCAGCATGTTGAGAGTCATATCCATGAAGCCAAGGTTGGTTGTAGTCAACATGACGACACCAGACCTATTCTTGACGTCAGCTAAGCTGCAGTTGGACAGAGGTCCACGTGTTTCGTTCACGCGCCCAGGCATCCATCCCGTTGCTTCTTCGCCGTGCAATTTACTCAGGTCGTTTTGTTGGCACTTGCAACCGCTAGGTTTGGGAATATCATCGGAATTCTGGGAGGCATCTACAAGATTGAAATGGAATAGAAGTATTACAATGTGGCTGTAGGTATACTAGGAGTGGGGCCCTAATCAGGCTCGACCGGTGGATTGGGTAACGATCTTCTCCACGGATATCTATGCAATTTTGTTCGGAGCCCGTTTTTCAAACTTGTAAACAAACATTTACACGAAGTTGATGTTATCTGCAAAGAAATCAACGTCTTCTGTTTATGAAGGACAGTTACAATGGAATGAACAATTGCTGTTTTCGTTAAAATATTATTTTAATAACGTACTTCGCGGTCCTGCACGCAATGCAGGAAGCAGGAAGAAATCTATTTTTTGTATAGAAAGCAAGACCATACTGTATACGGGGACGTCTCTATAGTCCGAAGTCCCATTGGTCCGAAGTCCCATTGGCCCGAAGTCCCATTGGCCCGAAGTCCCATTGGCCCGAAGTCCCATTGGCCCGAAGTCCCATTGGCCCGAAGTCCCATTGCTCTATACGTTCCATTGCTATAAACGTCCCGTTGGTCCGACGTCCCATTGGCCCGAAGTCCCTATAGGTACGTTTCTTAATTGCCCCTAAGGACGTAACATGTACGTCCATGCACGTTTGTTATCTTCTCAGTGATTGCCCAATTCCCTGTCACGTGGCATAGCTATAAGTTTCTTTTACGTTCAGGTTATGAATAGGAGGCGGGCACATTATAAAGAGCCTAATACCTTGAATGAATAACTTACGCCACGGCCTTTTCAATTCATTGGCCGGGGCACAGTGTCACAACACAGACAATAGAAGGAAGGCCCACCGCTCCACCCTAATTCTATAGAAATATCTCACAGCGTTGAAGCAACGATAGTTTCGTTCGCACCTGTTGGTTTACCGCATTTGAAAAGCGCAGCATTTCGTTCAGGTATTGAACCCTCTACGCAGATAATGTGCTATAATTATGTAAAACGTCAATCAACCAAAACAAACATGAAAATAGAATACACCATTCAAAAATAACAACATTTTGGAATATACCTTTCAAAGGGAAAAATATTAAAAGCGCATGTTTACCGATGACAGTTTTGATATCTTACATTGGTATTTGGCTTGATAGATGCATGATCATTATGTAATACGTAGAGCACACAGGATCACCCCACCCGAAAACCGTAGGAGGGGGCAATTAAAAAAACACAAATTCCAAAAGTAGTGGTTTTAAGGTAAATTTGTATTTTAAGACGCAGCTGTTTGGAATACTTAGCTTCATTATGTTGATACACAGGCCATATACAACGTTTTTGAAATAATCCAGGGATGAGTTATACCACAAAATGCATAATTAATGTCAATCACAACGAAACGCCCACCACCGACTACTGTCGGACAAAAATACGAGTATGGGTGGACTTGAAAATTTTACAAACCATACCACCATGTTTGTGTGCAACACCTTACATCAACAAGGGCCATAAAACAATACCCATGCAGGGGTGGATCCAGCGTTTTTCGCAGGGGGGGGGGTATATCGGCACCCCCCCCCCCCCTTGATCTGCACCTGCCATACTCGCATTTGGGAGGGTTGTAAATGGGGGAATTTAGGACAGTTTGTTTACGTCATGACATAGCTCAACCTAGCATGACGAAGACAGGATATGCAAAAAGCAGCTTATCAGCTTATTCCAATCCTAGTCATTAGGATCTAGGAGCCCCTGTTATATATTACCATTGTGAATCTGTAATGCTAATAATTCAGAGTGTGCCGAGAAAGCAAAATAAATAGTTACAATACGAATACAAGGTAAAACTACGAGATGGAACGACTGCAAACTGTACCAGTACTTCCACTGCCGCCGCCTCCACCACCACCACTATTTGATATGTTATCATATGTGCTTGTCTGAGATCACGCTGTAAAAATCGGCAATTTTGCAATTTATTCTGGGCTTATTTTTTTAATATGGCGGACATTTTTGAAATTAATGCAAATTTGGGAAAGTTCCACTGCGATGATGTTGGTAGACTTTTGATATGTTCGTATATATTCTTGTCTGATATTACGTTGTTAATATAATTACTGGTGCAATTTGTTCTGGGTTTAATTTTTTTTCATAATATGACTGGATTATTATACATGTAGCAACCGACCACTAAAATCTGCATTGTCTCAAATTTCCCAAGGCTCAGTAGCGTATCCAGCGGGGGGCAGGGGGCACTCTCACCTGGAGGATTTTTTGGACAATTGTTTTGGTCATCACTGATTTAAATAAATGTTTATAGAGTTTGTGTGACATCAATCCAACCAACGGAAACCCGCTCAACAACCATTACAATGCGCCGTGATAATGTCCATATAATGTGTAGTACATAGGCGTAGCCAGCAGGGGGGGGGGGGGGGGGGGGGGGGAGGGGGGGGGGGGGGGGGGGGGTTAAGGGGGTATTTACCCCCCCCCCCAATATTTTGTAAAGAGTGCCTTTTTCCATTCAAATGCCCTTTTTTTCAACGGGCTTACCCTTCCCCCCACCCGATAATATGTAAAGAGTGCCCTTTTTTGCGAAGTGCCCTTTTTTTTAACAAGTGCCCTTTTTTTTTTTTTTAAAGAAGTGCCTTTTAAAAAAAAGTGGTTCCTTTTTTTGTGGCATCTGCCGTTTTGGATGCCTTTTTTTCAGAATTTCGCATTGTATCGCCCTGAAAAACACCATATATTGGCCCTTTGTGTGCATAATTGTCGGTTTTGAACAGTGCCCCCATCGACAGATGGGACCAGCCCCCCCCCCCCCCCCCCCCCCCACGCTTTTTGATTTGACGGAGGCCAAGTGTCCGGAGAAAAAAAACTGTCTACATTTCACAACGGATGTGCAAGTGCCCTTTTAAAAAAAATTACCCCCAATAAAAATGACCAATGGTCAGTGTCAGGGCAAGTGTTGGGAGAAAAAAAAACATGTCTACATTTGTATGCCATGTAGACGCGACGTGTCTGGTCAACCATACCATCAGGTAGCAGACCAGTAAATAAACTTCCATAGACCCCAATGGTAAATGCTCCCACTTCAAAAATTCGGGAAAAATACTCACAACTCTCCAAGGTGTTCGAGACACACATCAAATTAAAGCTTATTTCATCATCTTTCATTTTCTTTTCAATTTTCGGGGGGTCAACTGATGACTTTTAGGAGAAATTTCCATATGAAGATGATCACCCCTGAAAATAGTCGTGAAGCCCATCGCCATTTTCAAAAACGATGCCTACACTCCATTGCAAAGTAGAGCGCTTTTAGGGTCCAAATTACATCAAAATTACACAGAACTGCAAGCTCCCAGTCCTGTGCACGGTTTCCACCCATATTTTTTACAAACCCTCAAGTTCATGGCCCACAGCATGCTCAAATACCGAAGATTTTGGTCTGCACCCATCACGTCTCAGCCAAAAGGCACGCACGTCAATCACGAGTCGCTCAGTGAACTGGGATCATGAATGGTCTTATACGGTGCATAGTCACAGCCAATCACAGGGAGGCCGCAAGCGTTAGGTTCGCTGCTCTCGTCCTACGTCCCAGATCAGTGCTGCCCATGGTGGCATACTCCGGCATAACCAATCAGATCCACGGTTACAGCGCTGAACGTAGCCTTAGGGTCATTTTAGGTTTTCGTTCGGGAATTAAGAAACGTACCTATTAGTCCGAATGCCCATTGGTCCGACGCCCCATAGGATTATGGTAAGGGTTATAGGTTAGGGTTAGGGTGAGGGTCAGTCAACCTGAACCAGTGAAACTACACAGTATTATGTTTCATCGGACCAATGGGACATCGGACCAATGGGACTTCGGACCAATGGGACTTCGGACCAATGGGACTTCGGACTATCGAGACTTAACCACTGTATACTTACTTATAATGAATGCGATGAAGGCAGCTGACTGCATGAAGAACAAAATCTTATAGATGTGGTCTACCGCGGCCATTTTCAATTCGCCTGCAGTGAGATTCACAACAACAAAAGTGACTGAAGTTCCCAAAATATCTGGAGTCTAGCTGTCAATAAATATTTGGTTTATATTTGTTATAGTAACTAATCAGTGATTGCTGAAGAGAAATCTCATTTTGCTTAGAAATTCAAAACGAGATTTTACTGTGCAGAGACATTTTAAGAAGCCAGAGTAGCTTCGAGCAAGAAGTTCTGGCGTTTACTACAGTTCTTGTCTCAAACACCTAGTTATCATTTAGACGGCAACATTGGCCGTCATTTTCTTCCTGCCAGCAGCGCAATGGTTGTGCGTTAAAAGAAGATGTGAATATCCGCGTAAATCAGAGTTAATAGATAAGCCGAAGGTGGTTAATATACAACGATGTCACTATCGGCAGCATTCAACGGACAAACAAACACGACCGTTTATCAAGTCTATTAAGGAGATGAAATGACCAAATCTTCACCAGTCATGACCTCGCAGGGTTAATAATGGTATATGCATCTGATCATATCAGATCACTGATATCATAATGACCGGATGGTCAAACTTTGTAATATTAAAAACAGCACACTGCATGGTCGCGCTCAGGAAAACCCATAGTGAGGGTTTATAAATCTGTCGGTGGAATTTCGATACAAGTTGTAAAATAAAAATTTAGAAAGTCCATAGGAAAAACGTGTGGACTCGGACCTAAGCGACATTTTACTTCTCAAAAGCCTTGTCTGACATGATCATATTTTACGATGCAAGGGTTTTCCGCTGTGTTTTTCCCCCCAAGCATTCACATTGGTCAGCGATCAGCCTGTTCCGTTCAAGCAATCCTAATCCGAAAGATCCCAATAATTATAATTTCAGTCATTGGTTCATTCACACGTTATTTCTTATATCTTATAGGCCTACTTTGTTTAGAATGTAGGCCTACGATTATTAAGTATTCAGGCTAACGTGGTCCCTCGCATGACGTCTTGCCTGGTACAAAATACAATAAAGCATAAAATTTATGACATAAATTACAGTAATGTGTCGCGAATCGTCATCAAGAAACCACGTGTGTTTTATTTCTCCATGATATATCCTAGTCGATACCTGACATTTTAAAATATCAACCGTTTACATCATTATGCTTACCAACGTGATTACGTCCGGTGTCTATTACCATGCATGCAATGCTGAATCCTCTGTGTGTACCACACGGCTTGCACGCACAGGGTCTACGTGGTGTCTGTTTCAACGTGACAACAGGTGACGTTACACGATAGGAGATGAACCAAACAACATGTCCATTTTCTCGATGATAGCTAGCTTGCGAAAATATAATTGCACATGAACTTTAATTTATGCGCACGTGAACTAAATGAACAGTACAAAGTGCAAGATCAAGTACCATGCGTCAGTGTATACTAATGCAAATAAATGCTAAGTGTTTGCATTTATCGAGAATACATTTTCAAACAAGTATACTGGGCTTCGGGGTGCAGACCTCCAAATCGACTCCCATAGACCTCAGTGATAATTATTACGCCTTCTTCCGAAAATTATTAAAATTACCCACAACTCAACGTTCAATTATCCGAAAAGGGAACATTTCATCCAAAGACGATCACCCTGAAAAGACGGACTAAACCCGGCCAATTACAGACTTGATTTCAAGACTACGAGGGCCGCAGCAGCAAGTCCGAACTTAATACTGATTAACGAGTAGGCAATTAGTGAATTTCAAAAAAGTTTGAATTTGATGAACAAACGGATGTCCTGCCAATATTTAAGACCTACCACATTGGAACAAATATAAGGTTGCATGTGAATGGAAAGAAGAAGTGTATTCAGGAGGTAAAGGACAGTCGTTTGTTGGGCGTGTTATAGTTTATACTGAAATAGCAGCTGTACCGGCTGGGCATGAGGCCATTGTGAGGGGCATAAAACCGCATAATTGCCAACGGGTGCGATATTGAGGGCCTGGGGGACCCTGTGTTTGTTTGACCCATTCAGGGTGGAGGACAATTAGGCCAGGGGGGGGGGGGGGGCGCTGGGGGGCTGGAACATTTCAGGGGGGGGGGGGCGTCATGCAGGGGCGTCAATCGCTTCTCAAAAGTGGGGGGGGGGGCGGACATACCTTGATCAGAACTGATGCGAACGCGAAGCCCTTACGGCGTGCAAGGGCGGATCCAGAACACAATTTTGGGAGGGGCCAAAAAAAAAATTTGGTCCCCCAAAAAAGTGGGTCAAAAAATACGGCGTGGGGTTCGGGGCCCGCTTAAGGGCCCCGAAAAAATTTTGGATTCTAGATGCTCTGTGGTGCGATCTGAGGCAATTTCTGACCACTTTAACCAATGTTTTTTTGAGGAAAAGATGATTGTGTACTCATTGCCTGCCTTTATTGCGATGTCACATAAAAAAAAAAAATTGGTTTCGTTTTGGGGGGGGGGCCATGGCCCCCTTTGCCCCCCCCCCCTGGATCCGCCCTTGACGGCGTGCGGTTCGGGGCCCGCTTAAGGGCCCCGAAAAAAAATGGATTCTCGATGCTCTGTGGTGTGATCTGAGGCAATTTCTGACCACTTTAACCAATATTTTCTAAGCAAAAGATACATTGTAGTACATAATAGGGCCCTGTAAATGAGACACGAGTTCAAAAATCTGGTGGGGGGGGGGGGAACATTTGATATTGTGTCCCCCACCCTTCAAAAAGTGGGGTGGGGGGGGACATGTCCCCTGTCCCCCCCCCCCGGATTGACGCCCATGGCGTCATGTAGATCAATGATAATTTTTTTTAGAAACTCAAAATCTCAGTGGGGGGGGGGGGGGGGGGCGACTGGGGGGGGGGGGCGACAAGGTTTCATGGGAGCGCGCATCGCCGCAAGTACATGCTGCAAGATTTGTGGCGGAGTTTATCGCATTATGACTGTGTACATAATGTGTATCCCGCTACACAAAGGAAATTCATCCAATAGGAAATTTCGTTACGCGCTACGATGGGAACGCAGACCAATCCAAGTAGGCGTTATATCAATGAGGCGTCCACCGTAGAATAGGGCTACACCGCAACCTCGTACCCAGGGTGTCGAGCAGTACGCGCCCATCACTACCTGCTCTCTCGCCCTGGTATTGGATCATTTGCATGTGCAAGATTTTTGAACACGTATGCAAATGAGGAATAGTCTGGTGCCTGCATGTGCGTTTACATTAGCGTTTGTTTTTGTATGCGGTGTCTGGGGTAAAAACAAAGTCAATTCGTAGCAGCGCGAGCATGGCGTGAGTTACAAAAACACGATTTTTATTCAATTAAACTGTTACGATCTTAACGAAACAATATGCAGTATCACATTTCATATTAATATTAACAAATTGGAAAGGAAATTAATATTTTCGAGAAGGCGTGGACGAATGATTGCGAAAACACGTACTGCACGTTGTGAATAACAACACCAAGTACACGATAAAAATCCATTACTAGCCAATAGCGGTATCGAATCAGGATACAGGAAGAAAGTTTCCTATCAAGGGTTTACTATTGGAAACCGTGTTGGAAATAAAGTAAGCACTGGGGACGAGGTTGGGCTACACCGTACTCCGAATCGATCGAAACAGTGTGTTCACATTTCACATCTAAGAAAGAGACCAAAAAGTTAATTTTTTTCATCTTCATGAAGGGCAGACTAAAGAGTAAAAAATGTATACCTTGTAGAGTGAATTCATGAAAACAATATAGAGAACTGGCCTTCTGCATTGCAAAACTAGGGGGACAAAAAACCTGGAGGGGACAGAATTACCTGAAGGGGGACAGAATAAACGGGCCGGGGAAGACACTTTTACCTAGGTAATTCTGTCCCCCGGACACTTTTAACGGGGGACAGAATTACCGTCCACACCGGCATATTCTATCGAATTCCCATTAGCACTGTACAAGAGTCGCCAAGGCGCAGATCCAGGGGGTTTGCGGGTCAACCCCCCCCCCCCCCCAGCTCTGTTAAAAAATTGTGCATGGAAAATACTTGATAATAATGTGAACCCCCCCCCCCCCCCCCATGCATTTCGGGCAATAATGAGCCAACTGTTTTCATTTGTTTGGAAAATGGCATACGGCTGCCTCGTTAATCGTAGGCTAATAGTTACGTGTGCTAAATCTTTACGCAACAATGAACACCACAGGCTTTTTTGAAGAACGGGCATCGGGTGAATTCAGAGGCGGATTCGGGAATTTTGCGGGGGGGGGGGGGGTCCAGGCCCGTCAGATGTTTATATCATTGTTGTGGACAAGCGGACCGTGTTATTGTATAACAATTATAAATAGTAGTGCAGGGCCCGTAAGGGTGAAAACCGTGGAGTCCCCAGTCCGCAAGCCACCGTCGGACCACCGGTGGCTGGGGAGCGGCTTGTCGGCCTCGGCACGCCGACCCAAACTATCAGCGGTCCGCCAGCGGTAGGCTAGTGGCATGCCTCCAGTGGCCTGCCGCTCCAAAACTGCCAGCGGACCACCAGCGGCAATCGGCGTTGGCTGTTCCCAACAGTCCTTCATCAGCCTGTAATCAATCATTACTTTTCTGAAAAACTAGGCGAACAGTACGTTCTCGTCCTTAATTTTTAAAAAAATAATAATAAACATTAAAACGTAGACGAAAACAACATTATTAAACCAGGCCACCACATTACGCTAGGGGGCGCTGTTCATGATGTCCATCTTGTTTTATGTATAGCGCTTCGCTCGTACCCAGTATCCCCCTCCCCACCCCATCCTTAATTGCAAACAGGGCCATGGGCGCTGGGCCGGGAATGGCTGATGAACTTCACGGAATCTTGTCAAGGAAGTGGGAATGGCATACTGGGGAACTTATCATGACCTTATTACCAAGACATATATAGCTGCAGCTGTTTAAAGGGTGCAGGTGTGGCAGGTAATTTTGTCCCCCCCTGGTAAATGTGTCCCCCGGACACATTTACCTAGGTAAACCTGTCCCCCTCTAGGTAAATCTGTTCCCCTGCACGACGTTAAATGTGTCCCCCCTGGTAAAGGTGTCCCCGTGCAAACTCACAAGTCTAGCACCCAGACTGTATATTAGTAAAGTTATTAACTGTTTTTGCGCGGCGCCTTGCTAAATTTTGATGACGACTTCGGGAGCGAGCGATTTGCATGGTGGGCGTGCGCGCGAGTGTACCGCACCTACGGAGGGCGTGCGCGCGCTAGCGATAGGTTGAGTATTACTACGCGTGCCTTTTCTGCTTTCTTGCAGAAACATAGATCGGTTGATTAACATCTAAACGTTAATTTCATTTTGATAATCATTGATGAAGGGTGGAAAAATCTAAAAAAGGAAACCCTATGCGCTGAATTCATTATAATAACATCAATATAGCAACTTATGCGTGCAAAACCAGGGGGATAGAATTAACTGGAGGGGACAGAATTACCTGGAGGGGGACAGAATTAACAGGACAGGGGGGGGGGGGACACTTTTACCTAGGTAATTAGGCTGTCCCCCCGGACACAGGCCAGTTAATCGATCCGAAATTGCCTACGCCTGCCAAATCACGATTTGCATGCCCTCAAATTCTTCAGTACTTGAGCATATTGCGGGCCATGCCCTTGAGAGTTCGTAAACAATAATATGGTGGAAGCCGTGCACAGGAACGTGAGCTTGTATTTCGGTGCAATTTGGATGAAATCGGGGCCCTAACAGCGCTCTATTTTGCAATGGAGTGTAAGCATCGTTTTTCGAAATGGCGATGGGCTTCAGGACTTTTTTAAGGGGTGATCATATTCGGATGGAATTTTTTTCCAAAACTCATCAAAAATAATAAGCCCCAAAAACTGAAAGGAAAGGGAAAGATGATCGAAATAAGCTTTTATTTTTGATGGTGTCTCCAACACCTTGGAGAGTAAATTGTGAGTGTTTTTCCTGACTTTCTGAAGTGGGGGAATTGATCATCGGTGTCTATGGCAGTTTATTGCACCCATAGGGTCACTGTTAAAAGCGGACACTCGTGGACACTCTCGGACAGTAGGTGGCGCTCTTCATCACTGCCGACTGACGTGCACGCCTTTTAATTTTCCGACAGGCCGATGTCGCCGGTGTGGAAGGTAATTCTGTCCCCCGGTAAAAGTGTACGGGGGGGTACAGAATTACCTAGGTAAAAGTGTCCTCCCTGGCCCGTTAATTCTGTCCCCCTCCAGGTAATTCTGTCCCCTCCAGGTAATTCTGTCCCACAGGTTTTTTTTGTCCCCCTCTTTTGAAACCCGGAAGGTTATTGTTTTGATGAATTCACTCTACAAGGTATACATTTTGGACTTTTAGTCTGCCCTTCATGAATATAAAAAATATTTAATTTAGTCTATTAGATGATACGTGAACACAATGTTTCGATTCGGAGTACGGTGAAGTCTATCGCGATTCTACCGCGATAGGTCAACACAGCGGTGATGCATGGCGATGGCCCTGGTCTCATTGATAGTATGATGCAACGTCTCCTTGGATTAGTCTGTGTTCCCATCATAGCGCGTAACGAAATTTCCTATTGGACGAATTTCCATTGTAGAGGGAGACGCATAATTATGTACACATGTTATAATCACTGCCTCAAATCTTGCAGCATGTACTGGCGCGTGCGACACGCTGCTGCTCTCAGTACATACTGCATGGGGACACATTTACCAGGGGGACACTTTCACCGTTGAGCAGGGGGACATTTTTACCTGGAGGGGGACAAATTTACCTAGGTAAAAGTGTCCCCCCGGACACATTTACCGGGTCACGAGCCGGTAAATGTGTCCGGGGGACACATTTACCAGGGGGGGACAGAATTACCTGTCACACCGGCCCGATTTTGCTTCCCACTTCCCCGCCTGGCTCGGTCTTCAAACCTGTAGCCGGTTGTAAGTTTTTTCGGACGAAATTCAAAGAACTATAACATCCTGTAACAAATAAATTTGCTGGTTTGCTTTTGCAGGCCTTTACACAGTTTGAAAAGTTGGTTTTAAATGGGTTTTAAAGCACCCCCTCATCGGCCGAACGCGCGTTTACCTACCGCTAGAGGCGCCCTTCCCCAATTTTATGACGTTATGTACAGTATGTCAATGAGTCGAGTGTGTGGCGCGGCGAGTACTCGTACTCGTAGTCGTACTAAATACTGTCGGCTGGGGATGGTGGAAAAGAACAACAAAAAGTAGACGTGATTTTCGAACGGATAAATGCCCAGAAATGAAGTTACGAGTAAGATCAGAAGGTCGAACAGAAAAGGTGGATTTTGAAGGCGACCCTACGGTAGCAGAAGTAAAAGAATCCGTGGCTCAAGCTTTCGGGTAAATTGCTCTTGAAAAAAAAGTTGAATCGTGTTTTCGAAAAGGCCTAGGGGGCCTAGGCCTAGGCTAATACTAATAGTATTAAACCATGCTAATCCTTACCTTTAGGACCCCGTTCCTATATGGTTAAAAAATAAAAGACTCACCAAAACAGCTGACTAAATGACACTCAAAAGCGACATTCTGATATTTCTTGACACATTTGAACAGTTGGCAATGACGGAGTTGCTGCAATGACACATTCTTGAATATCAGCAGGTTTAATTTTGTAGAAAGAGAGCAGGGCTTTGATTTTAAAGGGTTAAAGACGAAAATGGCAAACAGATAATAGAAAAAGCAAGATGGCGAACTGCAAAAAAAAGGTGGGAAAGTCGCATTTTCTTTGAAAGTGCTTTCAAAATTACGGTAATCCTTACTTTTAGGACCCCTTTCCTATATAAGGTTAAAAGACTCACCAAAACGCTGACTAAATGACACTCAAAAGTGACATTCTGATATTTATTGACACATTTGAACATTTGGCAATGACACCTCTTGAATATCAGCAGGTTTGATTTTGTAGAAAGAGGGCAGGGTTTTGATTTATGAGGGGATAAAGACGACGATGACAAACAGAAAATAAATTTAAAAAGCAAGATGGCGAATTGTTATTGGTAGGAAAGTCGCATTTTCTTTGAAAGTGGTTTCAAAATTATAACTAACATGAGTTTGTCTGAAGAAAAAAGACTTCTTTAGCCTGCAAAAGTCACTTTGGTACTGGACAGTCATCTGCAAAAGTCAGTTTTGAACAGAACTCGTACAAAATAGAGGTGTCCTAAAAGTAAGGATTACCAAAATTACAACTAACATGAGTTTATCTGAAGAAAAAAAGACTGCAAAAGTCATTTTGGTACTGGACAGTCATCTGCAAAGTTAGTTTTGAACAGAACTAACAGAACTCGTAAAAAATAGAGGTGTCCTTTAAAGATAAGGGCGATCATGAAGTGTAGGGCCCCTGTTTTGTTTTGATCAAATTAGAGTCAAAAATGTTCTTTATTGCTCAAAAATCACCTCTACTATCAAAAGCAGACTTTTCTCAATTCTAACGACACCCGTTTTGCAATTTTGAACAGTTTCTTGGGGTAAAAATCAAGATTTTCCTGCGCGGTTTGTGCCTTGCGATTCAGCGCGCCGTGCATGCTCACGGTACATCGCGCAGTGATCACCATCTTTATTTTCGGGTTGCGTGTTGTCGCCGCGCTGTCATCCTCATTTTACCCCCAAATTTCCCTCAAAACATCAAAACCCTGCCCTGTATCTACATGTATGACATACCTGTTTATTGAGAATGTCACCAACTACTTTGGTGGGTCTAATAATTTTAAAGTGGATTTTGTTCCCTTATAAGTTATAGGAACCGGGCCCTACACTACACGATCGCCAAGATAAGGATTACCCTAACCATGCTAACCAGCCAGCTAGCCCTACCCCTAGAACTATGGGTATTACGTGTAATACCCATAGTTCTAGGGGTAAGCTAACCCCACTTGTGTGACCGCAGTACTATTGCTGCGCTGTAGGTTCGGCCACACGTCTGGTTTTCCAACTTACTGAGGAGTTTAGTCCAAACACTGGCGCACATTTTTGGGGCATTTGTTTACATACCACTGCATATGGTTGTATTGTATGATGTCTCATCTTTTGTCTTCCGAGTAGATTAGCTTATCTTTCTTCAAAATTTTCGAGAATTTTGGAAACCTTTTTTGTAGTCCACATGCACCAGTTTTGGACTAAACTCCTCAGTAAGTCGGGAAACCAGACATGTGGCCTAACGTACAGCGCAGCAATACTGAGGCCACACAAGTGGAGCTACTAGCTAACCATGCTACATTAGGCTTATGTTGTTGGTTGTTATGTTACCCCTGCTCCCGGAGCCCCATAGACAGCACCACCAACGAATTTAGTGACTAACTACGAAACTCCTACTACTAAGTACACAAATGTACATCAAAATTAGTCCGAGTAACTAGGACTCTACGAATCGCCTCTTTTAACATTTGGAGATGGTCTGGTCTGGCAATTAGTAGGGTCCTAGGATCTTACTCTTAGAGTACACGGCATTACCAATAACCGTTTTTGTCCATTTTCACTTGTACCCCCTATTAAAATCTTCAGATTTCACCCCCAAAACAGTCCTCAAACTGCCTGATGCGCCCCTAGGCTTCAGTGGGAAGTGAAAAAACAAATGTCGGTGGTTAGGTTCACATACCTTTGGGAAGAAAAGAGAAATTTCACCTTCAATTTGAAACCGATCCTCGTCGTGCTGGAGGCCGCCATCTTGAATTCAAGATGGCGGCCTCCAGGCATGCCAGGAAAACGGGGATCAATTTAATTTGAGCACAGTCGATTTGTTTTAAGGAAATATACGCTGGGCCAGTTTTAACCTTTTTTTTATGAATCCTTTGCAGTCAAGATGTGGGGAGCTTTGAATTGAGTCTCAATGGCCAAGAAGCACTGGTAAGTGAGCCGGACTCCCCCTTGTCTCACTGCGGTATCGTATCGGGAGACTTACTGCGCATCATCAGAACAAGTGAGGGCGCTATCGGATCTCGGAGCACAGTAGATCAAGCCCCAGCCTCCCAATGTCTTGGGACTGGGCAGACAGGATCGGAGCCAGCTTGTGTTGGGTCTATGGAAATTGACGATGGCACTCAAAACCAAACCTCAAAAGGGGCGTGCAGAACACCCAACAACAAGAGCCAATTGGGAACTCCTGCAGCTCCAGATTTGAACTCAACCCGAACGATGTCAGCAACAACAGATGAGTCGCAAGGCCCGAGTGGTTGCCAAGCAAGGATGGAAGACGGAAATGAGGATGCGCCGAGGTCGGTCAGAGAACCCATGCTGTGTCGGAGCGCAACGGATTGCCTGATACCGCAGAGGCTGAGAGCGCTGTATTCAGGGAACAGACCAAGAACTTTAGAAGAAGCACTATGCATTGTCCTCCATGTATTGATGGTGGAGACTGGGTTTCAAACAGAGGTACGTGTTCATGTATGAAAGGATCATACTTTTGTAAGCTGTCACTTGAGGGTACTCGTATACGAAGGACGGTAGAGTATAGCTGGAGTTACCCAGCCCTAAATTTTATCATTGGGTTGTCATTTAGGGCTGGAGATAATTTTTCACGTAACCCAGCAGCGTAGGCAGGTCCCAAAAAAACCTGTTTTATGCACTGTCGGTTGCGGTTCCAGTACCGCAGCTGTGATGCGAGTGGTAAACCTCATATTAGTGCATGAAACGGTCATCGGGTGTTACGCTTCCGCGTGACGTCATGCGCCAACAGCCAGCACAGCTGGCAAAAACGACTAGTATCAGCGCGCTGTGCATGGTAATCGACCGCCATTCATTGTACACAATTTTTTGTGCACAAACCAATTGCGGTCCTGGCCATGCCAGCAAGGTTGTCAGGTTAGCGGTTATTCCTCCTTTTTTCACTGCAATTGTAGGCTGAATCTTCATCGTGGATCGTTTTCTACTTCAAGGACCTGTGTAATGGTTATTCCAGGCAAGTTCGCAATTTCTTTTGGGACCTGCCTACGCTGCTAAATGACAACCCAATGATAAAATTTAGGGCTGGGTAACTCCAGCTAGGTAGAGTAGAACATTTGCAGCTATCCAAAAAGTAACCTACCAAATTATTGTTAGAAAACTTATTTGGTCTAAAGTTAGTAATGACACTAAACTCCTTGTGAAATTATTCCTTCTGGCATGCTGTCATTTTGAGGAAAACGATAACAGAAGGTCATTTCCAAAGATGCGTCAAGTGACACATTTTTGGAAATTTCCATTGGCATGTGGTTTGTGAAATTGTGAATGGGTGCAAGTGCATTGACACGAAGCACAGGCGCGCAGTTTAAGCGACAATCGTCGGTTCAGTGTGTGTGGTCCATTAAATCGGTTGCATTCTTCCTTGTGAAAAACATCAACATGTACACGTTTACAAAGGCCAGCCCAACCCATTAAAGCTATAGTCCATCATTTGCAGCCATCCGAAAAAGTAACTGGCGTATTATTGTTGAAAAACATACTTGGTTGAAAGATAGTAAGTGGACTAAACTCCCTGTGAAATTAATCTTTCTGGCAAGCTATCATTTTGAAGTAATCAACGAAAGAAGGCCTTTCCAACGGTGCGTCTTAAGACGCACCGTAGGAAAATTTAAATTAGTAGTCCGTTTTGTTATTCGGCGCAGCACAAGCGCCCTCGGTTGCTATAATTCGTCGGATCAGTGCGCGACATCGCGTAAAGCTGCAATTCAAAACAATTCAAAACATGATTCAGCAACTTTTGATTTGAAATTGAGATCCTAGAATGCTGTTTTTCTTGGAAACTACAGCTGAAGCTGAGCTGAAACTTCATCAGGTTAGTTGTTCAGTATCCGTAATAAGATTTTGAACACTTTTGTTGCTTCAAACGAACAAAATGCACAAATTACAAATGATGGACTGTAGCTTTAAGAGCAGGAACAGCCAGTTAGGCCTTCATCGACAACTTTTGCTGTAGGGTTACAAGTCAATCATACCACCACTTGCAACTTCACTGAATTTCAGTTCTTTCTAAATTGTCAACATTTTATGCAGCCCGTGGCAGACAGCAGTGAGAGCAATTCGCAAGTGGAAGATAGTAGGCCTGGCACCTCCACCTTCTGCAAGAAACAGCCCACAGCGCCCTCTGTTGATGATGCAAGGGCAAGCATGCCGGCCAGTTGGAGGGTCAGCGGGGTCCACAGGCTGCGTTACTGCCATCCGTCTTTAGAGGGCGCTGTTTGTAGCATTGCGTGCGTGCCGGTCGGGAAGCAGACGGTAGTGTATGGTGAGTGAACCCAATGGATTCTGTGCGTGAACTTTGTGGCTACTTTCGGAATCCCCAGTGGGACGGACAAGGGTGCGTGTGCGTACCTACTCGATCGCGCCTTTGGTGCGAAGTACGTGTGACTATTGTTTTTCTGAATGTACTTGAAGGTGTTGCTTCTTGATGTGAGTGTTCGGCCTACATGGACCAAGAACTCAGTGGAATGGTCGCGACAACTTGGACCACATTTTACTGACAATGATCTACATCCCTATATTTTAAATACGGTTCCACTCGGACACAAATCAGTGATTGACAATAATCATATTTTGTTTTTCATTTGAAAAACCTTTCCCTCTTTTCAAACGTTTGTTTTGGCTTTCCCAATACAGGCGTAACAGCTGGAAAGACGTCTTTTACTTTGCAGTTGAACCCAAGTGAATATGTGACTAGCCTAGGTGAGAAATTATTTCTTCCACTATGCCAAAATATTTAAAGGTAGAGTAGATCATTTGCAGCTATCCAAAAAGTGGCTGACAAAATTATTGTTAAAAAGCTTACTAGGTTTACGGATGGAAATGGCACTAAACTCCCTGTGAAATTATTCTTTCTGGCATGCTGTCATTTTGAAGAAAACACTATTAAAAGGAAGGCCTTTTCCAAAGATGCATCAAGTGACACATTTTTGGAAATTTTTGTTAGTAATTGGTGTGTAATTCCACGAATCCGTGAATGGGTGCGTGCATTGAAACAATGCACGCTCGTGCGATTGCTAATATTCTTAGGCTGACATCGCGTAGCTGCAATCGGCTGAATGAAAACTTATCCCGGATGCTGATTTCAGGTGTAATCTATAACATGACTCGGAAACTATTTAATTGAAACCGAGATCACAGAATATTGTTTTCTCTGAATATACAGCATTCACTGAGCTGAAACTTGGTCAGGTTAGTTGTTCAGCACCCGTCATTAGATTTTGAGCACATTTGTTGCTTCAACCGAAAAAAGGCACAAATGACAAATACCTTTAAACAATTTGTTTTATTTGAATTTTACTTGGATATTAACACATTGGCAAAATTGTCTTAACTCGATAGTCTTTGTTCAAGATGGGATTTGTATTTGCTTCCCTGATGCAGCTGGTCCCTGATGAAAGGCATGTTCACTGAATCAAATTCAGTCTTGAGAACGATGGCATCTGGACCAAAGAAACATTAAACATACTTCCTGCAAGCTTAAAGCTACATGTTTTGTACAGCACTTGCTCGAGGTATGCTAGAGCATTTCTTGGGTTAGAGTGCCAAAGTTCCCAAAACTCGATTCGTTCATCTTGCTGATAGCACATTCTAGGGACTGGTTGCATTATAGGGAACAAAATTCCAAGCCTGTCTTTGCCCGATTCCACCAGCTCTTACATGTAGTGTATGGAATAGCCACTTGCAAAGCCAGCCTCTATGATACGCAAGCAGATTTGGCCGTTAATTATGCAAAACAAGCCTGCGCCTTGACCTCTCGATTCTGACCATTCAGCGGATGGGTCTTTGGTAACCCGTTGTTATATTACAAAAACATGGCAGCCAATTGACCAATCAGCAGCTTAGGCCAAACTTTTGCTCGCAACGGCGTCACAATTTCTAAAGTCGACTTTGATTGGCTGGCGCGCGGGGTCGCGTAAAGTCTGCAATGCTCACAGATATCAAACGTTACGGAACTTGCGGGCTCCGTTGAACAATGGCTGATACTTAAAACCAACTCTGTGGAATCCATCTAATGTTCAAATTCATAGTGGTGTGTTTACACTTCTCCATGTTTGTTTGTGTAGGGGAACAGCCCGTGTACACCAACCTACCACAGCTGTCCAGGCTATTCAAGGATTCCATTGCCTACTCCTTGCTGCTGACCACAAGATCAGGTACTTTGATTCCATAGTCCACATGTAAACATGGAGTGATAGTCAACACAATGTGAAGCTGTAAATTGATTCCTTTGCCTATATATATGCAAATACCTGTACTGAGTACTGACAGGATCCAATCTTTTTATAACACCTTATACATATTTATGAGGCAGACGCGCTTCTTTCATTGGTCGATGTCCCAATGCATCTGTGAAGTAAAAAACAACTAACCCCCAGCCCATGCACATGCTGACGCGCGACACGCCTACTACCACCCAACAATAGCGACCAAAAGTCAGGTTGTTAGTAGTACCACATTAAAAAGTTTAAACAAAACTCTGACTTATGAAAATGGTCTTAATTTATGTGAGGCATTATTAAAACAAAATACAATGTAATGGCTTGTTTTGGGTAGTGCATTATATACTAGTCCCTGGGACGCACAATATCTAGCCTATCCGCTCCGTTTACAAGTACCCCCTCACCGGCAAAGAGAGTACAGTTGGGGGTGACCGACCGACGCCATCTTGCCTGACTGCCGCGAAGCGCAGCCACTGCGTGTACATAGTACAAATCCCCTGGTGTACGTGCCTCACACACAAGGAATGGTGCACGTCAACCAGCGAAATGTCCCGCCCATGGGACATTGTTGCTAGGTAAAAGGGCGCCCTCTTTGGTCGGCGCACGGAGCCCATAGAACTCTCCTCTGACTGGCTGGGTCACTGACTGATCAACTGACAAGGGCTGTGGTGTGGAACCGAGTACCCGACAGTTGATGTCAGATTCCAGATTATGGGATCGGGTACCTGTAACCAGCTTTCAAAATTACTTGGTAACATCTCAGACTATGAAAGGAGGAAGGTTTTGCATCTCGGACTATGAAAGGAGGAAGGTTTTGCATGTCATTTGTGGGAACCTTTTGTGGGGGGAAAAAAAAAAAAAAAAAAAAAGCAAACACAAAAAAAGAGCATTTTTTACATTTATGACGCTCACTGGCAGAAGCTGCAGTTTACACCATAAAGCTATGAAGCTCACTGTAGTGTACACACTTGCATCTTGCTTCAGACCTTTGTGAACAGTCTGAACAGCAACTTTCATGACCTGAATTTTGGGGTTGGGTTTCTTTAACGGGTACACGGGGGCAGGGTACCCAGGTTTTTTTCAGTCGGGTACCTGGTTCCTGTACTACCTGTAAATGCATAACTGACTGAGTCAGTAAGTAATGTCCTAAACTGAGCATTTAGGGTCCAGCTTGACTAATTAATTAATTTAATCCTTTATTTTTTTTTTATTCAGAGTTGGGTCTTGTTCCTCTGAATGGACTCCTGGCTCTTTTCCCTGAAATTCAAGTAAGTACATGTAGTTCAAAAACAATTATCTATTAAAGCTATAGTCCATCATTTGCAGCTATCCAAAAAGTCACTGACGTAATTAGTGTTGAAAAACATACTTGGTTGCAAGATGGTAAGGGGACTAAACTCCCTGTGAAATTATTCTTTCTGGCATGCTGTCATTTTAAAGAAATCAACAAAAGAAGACCTTTCCAACGGTGCTTCTTAAGACGCACCGTAGGAAATTCAAATTAGTAGTTTGTTTTGTTATTCGGCGAAGCGCGCAAGCATTGGCAGGATGCACACGCGCGCGCGCGGTTGCTTTAATTCGTCGGATCAGTGCATGACATTGCGTAGCTGCATTCGGCTCAGTGAGAACGTGTCTCGACATGATTCAGCAACTTTTGATTTGAAATCGAGATCCTAGAATGCTGTTTTTCTCCGAATATACAGCTGAAGCTGAGCTGAAACTTCATCAGGTTAGTTGTTCAGCACCCTTCTTCAGATTTTGAGTACGTTTGTTGCTTCAAACGAACAAAATGCACAAATTACAAATGATGGACTATACCTTTAATGCTGAAGTTAATGTGCTAGGCTTAATCTATTTTTAAAAAAAACATGGGGGAGCAACTTTAACCATGACATTCCTTTTGTTTTCCTTTTGGACCGAGTTAGCTCCTGATTCTGAGTTTCCTGGACCTACGAAGCTTACTCAACGTGTCCGAGGTCTGCAACCACTTTTACAACATGGCCACCGACAGGTCGCTATGGCGACAGCTCCTGCTGCGAGACTTCGGCTGCAAGGAGTCCGAGCAGTGTCTTGACTGGAGAGAGGTACTAACCACTTGGAAATATTGACTGTGAAATAACGGTAGAGGGCACTATGTCCATACACATGACGCCCACTTTAAAGGCAGTGTTAAGCCCGGTTCATACTTCATTCAAATGCAAATGCGAAGAGAATTTAACCTCATGAAACATTCGCTGCGAAATTCACCTGAGTTGAAAGAGTTAAACTTTTTTCGAATTCGCAGGGCGAATACTTGCCGTGATGTCACAAGTTCGCGTTCCCTTTCGCTTTCTCGCCGAGTATGAACCGGGCTTAATAAAATAGTGAAAAGGGTTAACCCTGGAAGTTACCAATATCAGCAGTTACAAAGCAAATTGTTCAACCCATGAGTCCCTGTATCATCCCCAAACTACCCCGTCAGTTGGTTCCCGTACTGCCCTAAACTGCCCCAGCACTGTGGGGGTTTTTATTCATCAGAAAATAGATACAACATAATAAAACAGGTGCTAAATCCCAAAGCTTCAATGATTTTTAATAATAAAAAATAAGAGAAATAAAGAATCGATGCAATGCCAATTTTGTCATCAATCTGGACAGCTCTACAAGCAGGAGTACAAGAACAAGAAGGATTTGGAGAGATATCGCAGGAACCTGATGGATCGGTCCGTCCCTGTCCGACCAGGCATGTTCCTTCCACCACCTCCCCTACCACCAAACATGCCAGGCTACCCTCCAGGCTACAGGTTAGTACCTCTTACTCCATCAACCCCTACTCCTGTTCACCTCCTCCCCACCACACCCTTATCATCTCTTGTATAGTCTAGATGTTCCTGCCACCACCACCCCTACCACCAAACATGCCCAGCTACCCTCCAGGCTACAGGTTAGTACCTCTAACCCCATCAACCCCTACCCCTATTCACCGCCTCCCCACCACTCCCCTATCACATCTTGACAGCTCTACAAGCAGGAATACAAGAACAAGAAGAATTTGGAGAGATGTCGCAGGAACCTGATGGATCGGTCCGTCCCTGTCCGACCAGGCATGTTCCTTCCACCACCTCCCCTACCACCAAACATGCCAGGCTACCCTCCAGGCTACAGGTTAGAACCTCTAACCCCATCAACCCCTACCCCTATTCACCACCTCCCCACCACACCCTTATCATCTCCTGTATAGCCTAGGTGTTCCTTCCACCACCACTCCTACCGCCAAACATTCCAGGCTACCCTCGAGGCTACAGGTTAGTACCTCTAACACCATCAACCCCTACCCCTATTCACCGCCTCCCCACCACTTCCCTATCACATCTTGTATGGCGTAGGTCTCTGACCAGGCATATGCATGTTCCTTCCACCACCTCCCCTACCACCAAACATGCCAGGCTACCCTCAGGCTACAGGTTAGTACCTGTAACTCCATCAACCCCTACCCCTATTCACCACCTCCCCACCGCACCCCTATCACATCTTGTATGGCGTAGGTCTCTGACCAGGCATATGCATGTTCCTTCCACCACCTCCCCTACCACCAAACATGCCCGGCTACCCTCCAGGCTACAGGTTAGTACCTCTAACCCCATCAACCCCTACCCCTATTCATCACCTCCCCACCACTCCCCTATCACATCTTGTATGGTGTAGGTCTCTGACCAGGCATGTTCCTTCCACCACCTCCCCTACCACCAAACATGCCCGGCTACCCTCCAGGCTACAGGTTAGTACCTCTAACCCCATCAACCCCTACTCCTATTCATCACCTCCCCACCACTCCCCTATCACATCTTGTATGGCGTAGGTCTCTGACCAGGCATATGCATGTTCCTGCCACCACCTCCCCTACCACCAAACATGCCCGGCTACCCTCCAGGCTACAGGTTAGTACCTGTAACTCCATCAACCCCTTCCCCTTTTCATCACCTCCCCACCACTCCCCTATCACATCTTGTATGGTGTAGGTCTCTGACCAGGCGTGTTCCTTCCACCACCTCCACTACCACCAAACATGCCAGGCTACCCTCCAGGCTACAGGTTAGTACCTCTAACCCCATCAACCCCTACCCCTATTCATTACCTCCCCACCACTCCCCTATCACATCTTGTATGGTGTAGGTCTCTGACCAGGCATGTTCCTTCCACCACCTCCCCTACTACCAAACATGCCAGGCTACCCTCCAGGCTACAGGTTAGTACCTCTAACCCCATCAACCCCTACCCCTATTCATTACCTCCCCACCACTCCCCTATCACATCTTGTATGGTGTAGGTCTCTGACCAGGCATGTTCCTTCCACCACCTCCCCTACTACCAAACATGCCAGGCTACCCTCCAGGCTACAGGTTGGCACCTCTAACCCCATCGACCTCCACCCCTATTCAGCGCCTCCCCACCACTCCCTTATCATCTCTTGTATAGTGTAGGTGTCACACAGGCATGTTCCTGCCACCACCTCCCCTACAACCAAATATACCCGGCTACCCTCCAGGCTACAGGTTAGTACCTCTAACCCCATCGACCTCCACCCCTATTCAGCGCCTCCCCACCACTCCCCTATCATCTCTTGTACAGCCTTGATGTCCGACCAGGCATGTTCCTACCACCACCTCCCTTACTACCACCTCCCCTACTACCAAACATACCCGGCTACCCTCCAGACTAGCATTACTTGCATGGCCTAGATATCAGACAGAACATGTTCTTGCCACCACCTCCACTATCATCTAACTTGCCTTGCTACCCTCCATGCTACAGGTTAGTACCCATCATGCCCCCCCCCCAAAAAAAATTCCCTCGCCCGATCACGCCTCCCCCTTTCTAACCATCTCCGGTACAGCCTTGTTGAATGGTGTGTCCCATTCAGATTTGGCATGTTCTAGCCGTTACCTCTCCCACCACCAACATTTCAGGCTACCCCCAGGCAACGGTTTAGTACCCCATATCCCCCACTCCCTCCTTCCTTTAATACCCTTCCCGTCAACATCTGGTACAGCCTGATTGAATGGTTTGTCCCATTCCGACCGGGCTTGCTCTAGTCATCATCTCCCCTACCACTAAACCTGACAGGCTAACTGTGCTAAGTTGTCAGTTGTCTGTCTTTTTTCTCGTCAATTCACAGAGGTGGGGATTATGATCTGGACCCTTTTGCCAGCCTGGCCCCACCGCACCTTCTCCCAATCAGGAGAGACCCCACCATCATCCCGTTTCCGGGCCCAGACATCGTCCCATTTCCCAGCAGAGACCCCATCCTGAACCCCCTGCCTCGGGTCCCCAACCGTCGGGATCCCCTGGGTAGCGGCCAAGGGGGTAGGGGCGGGCGCTCGTCAGGGAGTGGCAATAGGGGTTTCTATTTCTGATGAGATTTGTCGATTAATTTTCAAGTCATTTTAGTTTGCTTTAACACAATTTTAAGGCTACTGATTTTCTGTTCTGGAAACACAAAAATGGAAAAGAAATGACGACATTCACCTTCTGAAGTTGCCTTTAGGTTTTTGAGAAAAAAAAACCTAAGGTGTGTGTTCAAGTATGCCAACCATTTTGAGATTTAAAAAAAAATATGTAAATATGTTCAATTTCACACATGATGTACAGTTTTGGAAGATTTTGTTGAAATTCTGTAGAAAAGTTAACATTAAACTTTCACTACACTATGTACGATGTATAAATTGAGTTTTTGTTGTTATATCTGTTGTTGAATTATAATTATTTCCTAAAATAGAAAAACAGACTTTTTAAAATGGAAAAATTGGTTGACCTACCCCTTGAATAAGAATCTCTCTTTTGATTTTGTGTAGAACTATTAAAAAATTCATATGCAATTTTGACTCCATTGAAAAAATGTTGTCTCTTTTTTTTTTAATGTGGATTCTGACAGGTGACTTGTCACTTTCTTAACTATCTTCAGTTAGGCACACGCAACACAACCAATGCGTGTGTTCAAAGTGTCTAAATGAAGCACTACGTCGTTTGCAAGACTCCAATATCCAAAACGGTTGCGTGTTCAGGATGAAAGTTGACCGGTACTTTTGAGGACCACACCAATTTTTAAAAAAATATGATGCAAAATGTAAATACATTGTAAAAGTTAACAAATAACTAACTGGTTCTTCACTGAGCAAACCCGCGATACTTAACAATTTGAATTGATGTTTCGTACAGGCTTAAATTTCATCCATAATTTTCTCCTGGTTATGAAAAATGTTGTAAAATGCGTACTTTAGTTTATTTTTTTTTCTCAACCAGAAAGGCTGTGTTACAACTGCTAATGTAGTAACCAACGGATAATGTGTCACCAACCGATGATGTCACAAAAATTAACCGATATTGTATCACTAACCAATAATGTAACAAACATTGACTGATAGTGTAGGCAATGTTACTACACTATCATAGTATCAGTCAATTGCTGTGACATTATCAGTTACTTCCGGTAATGAAACAACAATTAACCGGTATTCATAAATACCTCAGACAGTTTAGCTATTCCTATTGGTCGAGAGCCCGTCACGTGGCCGGTATTAAACGGATGATAAAGACATGGCTAGCTGGTCTGAAACACTTTTCCAGTGTCACAATAAAATGTGGACTCCTAAAAATCCAGTGCCTCTTACCGTTTCATTGGTTGAACGTTCACAATCCTCACGTAGGCATGCGCAACACTACAAGCGAGTCAGAATTTTATAGTTCTAAATTCAAAACGCAACGCCCCAGGTGCGTTCTGCGTGACATCGCGCAGAACATGTTACGCGCGCGTCAATCTCCATAAAAGGGTTGTTTACATCTTACTCGCCAGCTGAACACTCCATTATTTTGCTAGAGGGATGTTTCAAAAAGCATGAAGTGAACTTGTTGAACAAAATCGGGATTTTTTGAACGAATTATTTGAAATTTTTTGGGAATTGAATGTGAATAAATATGTGCTCGGTCGGTATTTATCACTCGTTTAATACCGCTTAGAGTCTGGGTGCTGATAATTACCCTCGCCTCCGGCTCGGGTAATTATCAGCACCCAGACTCTAAGCAGTATTAAACGAGTGATAAAAACCTCCAGAGCACACATTTATTCCCTTATTCAAACACCAAATATATTGACGATTGGGGCAAAAATCATCGACATTTAGAGGAAAACAAATCATTAGTTTTGACAGATTTCACCCCAAATTTTCGGAAATTTATTTTTGAAAAGCACGTGTGTCCAGAAATCACATCGGAATGTGTTCTATGGTCCTTTAGGCATCTTTCCAGCAAGTTTTAAGCCATTTCATTTCATTTTTTGGCCAAAATTGAGAAAAGTACAAGGGTAAGGCCAAAAAAAAAAAGAATTCCAGTCAAACCAGTGAGTTTGGCGGTTTTGAGACATCACCTTTTATTGAAAAAAAAACTTTTTCATTTTGCCGACGCGCATGACTACGGCGACGCGCGCGCATACCAGAAGCCGGAGATTTTTTTTTTTGGCCTAAGCCTTACTTTTTTGATGAAATTTGTCCGAAAAATGAATTTTATTCAAACTATACAGAAATGTTCTAAAAGGAAAGAGGAGCATCAATCAACATACAAACACCAAATATATTGAAGATTTGGGAAAAATCTTCGACATTTAAAATTTCATATACATGTATTTGACCTATTTTACCTGAAATTGTGGACGCAATATTTCCTTTTTAAAGGCCTATCTGTCCGATGTAGGAGCGGAAACGTGTTCTAGGGACCCTGAGGTATCTTCCTAGCAAGTTTCAAGAAATTTCATTTTTTGGCCAAAATTTAAAAAAATGTAAGGGGTACTTTTTTTCGATTTTGGCCAAAAAATGAATTTTCTCCAAATTACTCAGAAATGCTTAAGGATGCTTTGGGGGCATGATTTAATATTCAGACCAGCAAAATTCGCTATATTTTTTGCGAAAATTGTGACATTATTGGGTAAAATTTCATATACATGTATTTGACCTATTTTACCTCAAATTGTGGACGCAATATTTCCTTTTTAAAGGCCTATCTGTCCGATGTAGGAGTGGAAACGTGTTCTAGGGACCCTGAGGTATCTTCCTAGCAAGTTTCAAGAAATTTCATTTTTTGGCCAAAATTGAAAAAAATGTAAGGGGTTTCCCTTACCTTTTTTTCGATTTTGGCCAAAAAATGAATTTTCTCCAAATTATTCAGAAATGCTTAAGGATGCTTTGGGGGCATGATTTAATATGCAGACCGGCAAAATTCGCAAAATTTTGGCCAAAATTGTGACATTATTGGGTAAAATTTCATATACATGTATTTGACCTATTTTACCTCAAATGTGGACGCAATATTTCCTTTTTAAAGGCCTATCTGTCCGATGTAGGAGTGGAAACGTGTTCTAGGGACCCTGAGGTATCTTCCAAGCAAGTTTCAGAAAATTTCATTTTTTGGCCAAAATTGAAAAAAAATGTAAGGGGTTAGCCTTACTTTTTTTTCGATTTTGGCCAAAAAATGAATTTTCTCCAAATTACTCAGAAATGCTTAAGGATGCTTTGGGGGCATGATGTAATATTCAGACCGGCAAAATTCGCTAAATTTTGGCCAAAATTGTGACATTATTGGGTAAAATTTCATATACATGTATTTGACCTATTTTACCTCAAATGTGGACGCAATAATTCCTTTTTTAAAGCCTATCTGTCCGATGTAGGAGTGGAAATGTGTTCTAGGGACCCTGAGGTATCTTCCAAGCAAGTTTCAAGAAATTTAATTTTTTGGCCAAAATTGAAAAAAAATGTAAGGGGTTAGCCTTACCTTTTTTTCGATTTTGGCCAAAAAATGAATTTTCTCCAAATTACTCAGAAATGCTTAAGGATGCTTTGGGGCCATGATTTAATATTCAGACCGGCAAAATTCGCTAAATTATGGCCAAAATTGTGACATTATTGGGTAAAATTTCATATACATGTATTTGACCTCTTTTACCTGAAATTTTGAACGCATTAATTCCTTTTTAAAGGCCTATCTGTCCGATGTAGGAGTGGAAACGTGTTCTAGGGACCCTGAGGTATCTTCCTAGCAAGTTTCAAGAAATTTCATTTTTTGGCAAAAATTGAAAAAAATGTAAGGGGTTAGCCTTACTTTTTTTCGATTTTGGCCAAAAAATGAATTTTCTCCAAATTACTCAGAAATGCTTAAGGATGCTTTGGGTGCATGATTTAATATTCAGACCGGCAAAATTCGCTAAATTTTGGCCAAAATTGTGACATTATTGGGTAAAATTTCATATACATGTATTTGACCTATTTTACCTGAAATTGTGGACGCAATATTTCCTTTTTAAAGGCCTATCTGTCCGATGTAGCAGTGGAAACGTGTTCTAGGGACCCTGAGGTATCTTCCAAGCAAGTTTCAAGAAATTTCATTTTTTGGCCAAAATTGAAAAACAATGTAAGGGGTTAGCCTTACTTTTTTTTTCGATTTTGGCCAAAAAATGAATTTTCCTCAAATTACTCAGCAATGCTTTCGGATGCTTTGGGGGCATGATTTAATATTCAGACCGGCAAAATTCGCTACATTTTGGCCAAAATTGTGACATTAATGGGTAAAATTTCATATACATGTATTTGACCTATTTTACCTGAAATTTTGAACGCAATAATTCCTTTTTAAAGGCCTATCTGTCCGATGTAGGAGTGGAAACGTGTTCTAGGGACGCTGAGGTATCTTCCTAGCAAGTTTCAAGAAATTTCATTTTTTGGCCAAAATTGAAAAAAATGTAAGGGGTTAGCCTTACTTTTTTTCGATTTTGGCCAAAAAATGAATTTTCTCCAAATTACTCAGCAATGCTTAAGGATGCTTTGGGGGCATGATTTAATATTCAGACCGGCAAAATTCGCTAAATTTTGGCCAAAATTGTGACATTATTGGGTAAAATTTCATATACATGTATTTGACCTATTTTACCTCAACTTGTGGACGCAATATTTCCTTTTTAAAGGCCTATCTATCCGATGTAGGAGTGGAAACGTGTTCTAGGGACCCTGAGGTATCTTCCAAGCAAGTTTCAGAAAATTTCATTTTTTGGCCAAAATTGAAAAAAAATGTAAGGGGTTAGCCTTACTTTTTTTTCGATTTTGGCCAAAAAATGAATTTTCTCCAAATTACTCAGAAATGCTGAAGGATGCTTTGGGGGCATGATTTAATATTCAGACCGGCAAAATTCGCTAAATTTTGGCCAAAATTGTGACATTATTGGGTAAAATTTCATATACATGTATTTGACCTATTTTACCTCAAATGTGGACGCAATAATTCCTTTTTAAAGGCCTATCTGTCCGATGTAGGAGTGGAAACGTGTTCTAGGGACCCTGAGGTATCTTCCTAGCAAATTTCAAGAAATTTCATTTTTTGGCCAAAATTGAAAAAAATGTAAGGGGTTAGCCTTACTTTTTTTCGATTTTGGCCAAAAAATGAATTTTCTCCAAATTACTCAGAAATGCTTAAGGATGCTTTGGGGGCATGATTTAATATTCAGACCGGCAAAATTCGCTAAATTTTGGCCAAAATTGTGACATTATTGGGTAAAATTTCATATACATGTATTTGACCTATTTTACCTCAAATGTGGACGCAATATTTCCTTTTTAAAGGCCTATCTGTCCGATGTAGGAGTGGAAACGTGTTCTAGGGACCCTGAGGTATCTTCCAAGCAAGTTTCAAGAAATTTCATTTTTTAGCCAAAATTGAAAAAAAATGTAAGGGGTAAGCCTTACTTTTTTCGATTTTGGCCAAAAAATGAATTTTCTCCAAATTACTCAGAAATGCTTAATGATGCTTTGGGGGCATGATTTAATATTCAGACCGGCAAAATTCGCTAAATTTTGGCCA